CAATTATAGCCAGAATAAGAGATCAATGTAGTGAAAAGTTTTACAATTTATTCAGACATCAAAAAATATATACACAACAAAATACCATCCAATAAAAATAGCCTCACTGTTGTTATTTAAAGTTGGGAGTGACTTTACTACAGATGCTTGCCTGCACGTGATTTTTTTCTCTGTTACCCACTCACCTGGTCCTTGTTTGTCTCACCTGGTCCTTGTTTATTTTCTACTGATTTTTACAGAAATGATGGTTCCACTTTTAACAAATGAGTAGCTAATTATATTATATCTGGTTTACAGGAAACTCTATATGTCCTGCATATCCCACGGAACTGGTCTTTGCTCTTGACATGTCATCAGACATTACACCAAACATATACAAAAGAATGAAAGATATTGTCACAGATATTTTAGCCAATGTCACCATCAGGGGGAGTAACTGTCCTGTTGGAGCCAGAGTATCTGTGCTATCCTATAACTCACACACCAAATACCTCATAAGGTTCTCTGACTTTAAAAGCCATGAACAACTAATCTCAGCTTTGAAGAACATCCCATTAGAGAAGACCACGATAGGTCGTGACATTGGTGGTGCCATGAAGTTTATAGCCAGAAATATCTTTAAGAGGACTCTTCAAGGTGCCACTGTCAGAAAAATGGCTGTGCTTTTCAGCAATGGACCCTCCGATGATGTAGAGTCTATTAACACAGCAGTTATGGAATTCAGTGCTCTTGGAATAATTCCAGTAGTCATCTCCTTTAATCCTCTACCAGCTGTCAAACGGGCCTTCACAGTAAGACTTTTCTTGTGTTCTTCACCTTATAGAAGTACCCCAATGAATGCTATTGAAGCATATGTCTGATAGCTCATTTAGTTTATGGCTTTGCTCCAAGTGTTTTAAATGACCTTTTAACTCAAATTTCAATAACTGGATCCTTAGAGCAAAACTATATATTATTTACATGGATATTCCACATCATTTGTCTGAGAACAGTAATTAATTACCATTTTCCAACCATATTTTTAAACCTCTAGTATTTATAACCGGTCCGAATATATTCACCAAATGTAATGCAATGAAATGGTCACTCACGAAAGGTGTGAATGACAAGGTCAATATTACAATGTAATCTGAATATTTTGAAAGACATTAATTGCAAATATATGGATTACATTTTATACCTACTTTTCCCAAGCTATCTATTAATGTTGTACACTTAGAGCAAGCACAATACCTGCTAATAATCTTAATTTAAGGATAAATAAATTTCATATACATGTTATCAATTTTGTTAGTACAATGTTTAATGAATGTTCTTACCTACAAAATGCCACTGTGTCATATTTGCAGGACAGAAGTACTTTAGGATTGACAAGTCAACATGTGCTGGTCAGTGCTGATATTAAGTCCATATCACTGTTCAGTACACTTTGGATGCTCTCTTAATTTGTCAGTAGAGACAAGCAAAGTGCTGCTTAGAGCAAAATCACAAGTTCAGGGCTTTCACTGAAGAGACCGAAAAATCTTTTTGTACTCGGCCTCGTAATATGTCTTCTGTTGAGCTATGCTGTTATCATTTTTTAAGTAATAGTGAAATAAATTGTAGTTGGATTTTCTAATGATGTTCTGTAGCAGATATTTGGATAACACATTGTTTGCACACTCTTTATGACCAAATCTGAGTTGTGAAGATTATGTTCCATCACATTTTTGCTAACCACAATGCATTTACCAAAGCTTTCTCCCAACCCACAGACAAATACAGAATAATCATAGTATTTAAAATACTATTGTATCCTTCCAACATTGACCAGAGGATGGGCAGGTTATGCCCAGAATTTGTGGTTTGACCAAAAATGTGTGGAGCCACCCAAAGATGTGGCATGTCAACCTTTATGTAAATATTTGTGTATGTGGTTAAGACTGTGTGTGTGCGATGGGATGGTTGGTATTTTATGGCAGGTACTTATGTTTAATTGAAGCACCTTACGTATCATATGATTTAAATTGGGATAGAAACATAGAATGGGACAGCAGATAAGAATCATTCGGTCCATCTAGTCTGCCCAATGTTTTAAATACTTTCATTAGTTCCTGGCATTATCTTATAGTTAGGATAGCCTTATGCCTATCCCACGCATGCTTAAACTCCCTCACCGTGTTAACTTCAGCTGGAAGGCTATTCCATGCATCCACTACCCTCTCAGTAAAGTAATACTTCCTGATTTTAAACCTTTGTCCCTCTAATTTAAGACTATGTCCTATTGTTGTGGTAGTTTTTCTTCTTTTAAATATAGTCTCCTCCTTTACTGTGTTGATTTCCTTTATGTATTTAAGAGTTTCTATCATATCCCCCCTGTCTCGTCTTTAGAACAGTGGTACCTTAATATCTGGTGCCATATCTTTTTTTTTTTTTTCTTTTTTTTTTTACAACAAATTACAATTATTTTTCTTCAACACAGATGGATTCTAGTGGTAATTTCCAAGTGATTGACATTCCAGCAAATGGAGACTACACACCATTCTTACAAAAGTTGAAGTTGTGTACGCTCTGTTATGGTAAGATACGCCTGAAATATAGAAGATCTTTAGCTAAAAACTCAACAGACACAATCCCCATCAAATAGTAAGATCAACCCCACTTATATATTTATAATTATAACATAATAGATACACTGTTTTTAGTTACTTTCCCTTTTTTAATGTCCCTTTAGCATAAATCTAAAGACAGACAATAAAAGCTGGAAATAATATATTTCATATTAAGAGCACTGAGCACTGTATATCTCAAAATACTCAGAGCCGGTGCAGGGATTTTTGGCTACACAGGCATAGATGCTCTTTGCCATCCACTCCTGTCACACTCCTCACACTCTTCTTCTGCTTGATTGTGCAGTCTCACATAGATATTATGAGTGTGTTGTCCAGCACTAATATGGCTGTGTGTTGGCTGCACAATCAAACTCCCACAACTAGGGCACCACACTGGGTGAGATTTAATTTTAAAGTGTAGAATTTAGGAAGTGTGCCCCTACCCACTCAAAAAAAATACACATATTCTCACAAACATTCATACACATTCATACACAAGTTCAAACACATTCTCACATGTGCACATACATACACTCACACATAACACATATTGTGTTCATACAGTGCAGCCCTTGCCCTTGCCAAACAGTCCTACTTTTCCTCTCTCATTAGTTCATGCACCCGCAATCCCAGGCGTCTCTTTGACACCTTTAATTCTTTTCTTCGCCCTGCTGTTGTCACCCCCCAAACTAACCTTACTGCTGATAACTTTGCATGTTACTTTACTGACAAGATTGAACAGCTAAGGAAAGAATTCTCCCCTCCTTGCCATTCTGTTTCTCAACCACACTTAGATCATGCCTTTCCTACCCTTCAGACATTCTCCCCGGCTACTGACCAAGAGGTGGCTGCTCTTCTCTGTTCCTCTCGCCCCACTACTTGCCCGTTCGATCCTGTCCCATCTCACCTTATTAGATCTCTCTCCACTTGTCTCGTGCCTTCCTTAACACACATCTTCAACTGCTCTCTCTCTTCTGGCATTGTCCCTGCTGACCTTAAACATGCCACTGTAGTACCTATACTAAAAAAAACATCCCTCGACCTGTCCACCCACTCTAACTATCGTCCCATATCCCTGCTCCCTTTTTCCTCAAAGCTTCTGGAAAGACTTGTCTTTACCCGTGTGTCTAATTTCCTCAATTCCAACTCTCTCCTTGACCCCCTTCAATCTGGCTTCCGCCTTCTGCACTCTACTGAGACTGTGCTTATCAAAGTTACTAATGACCTAATCGCAGCTAAATCCAAAGGCCACTACTCCATACTAGTTCTTCTTTGACACCGTTGATCATGCTCTCCTACTTCAAACTCTTCAATCACTTGGTCTCTGTGACTCTGTCCTCTCGTGGTTTTCCTCTTATCTCTCCCAACGCTCATTCAGTGTCTCTTTTTCTAATGATACCTCCTCCCCTCACCCTGTCTCGGTTGGAGTCCCCCAAGGCTCTGTCCTTGTTCCCCTTCAATTTTCTCTTTATACTGCCTCTCTTGGCAAACTTATTACCTCTTTTGGATTCCACTACCACCTGTACCCTTATTTGACTGCAAATTCCTGTCCTAATGTGTTTTACACCCCACCTCCTATAGAATCTAAGCTCGATTGAGCAGGGTCCTCTTCAACTTATTGTTCCCATAAGTTTATTTGAAATTGTCCTATTTATAGTTAAATCCCCTCTCATAATATTGTAAAGTGCTACGGAATCTGTTGGCGCTATATAAATGGCAATAATAATAATAATACACACAAACACACACAAACAAGCACACGTAAGAGATCCAAGCAGCCTATCTTTCCATCGGAGAGTAGACTCTCTCACTCGTGGCTAGTGGGGGCTGCTTGGGTCACTTTTTTTTATGTGCACAACTCCCATCTGTACCATATAGTGATGCTGGGGCTGGAGTAAAGTCACATCCCAACATCACTAAATCTGTATATATTGTGGTCTTTTTGCACAGTTTCCTTGCACAATGTTCCCTTGCCTGCTTCCTCCCTGAGCATATATTGGACAGAGTAGTAAGTTTTAAGTGCAAGTTTATATTTATGTTAGCTCCAAGCATTTTTAATTAGTTACCTGCAACGTAACTCCGCACCACATGCAGATCCAGTTACACCGATAGCCCCTATACCAGATTATAGTCACTATCTCATATAAGCATACTTATGTAATTTCCTAAGGGCAACGAGCTAGAGAAGGCCTTTGGGTTGTGGGAGTGGGAGTGGCAGAGCCACGGACAACACCGTCCATTGTAGAAACCGCCAGTATGTTACCCCTTCCCCTTAAGACCCCCCCAATGCTCTGGGTTATAGAGCTTTCTAAACAGCTTACACACTAGCAAACAAATCTAATTCTCTAAGAGGCAAATGTAACAAAAATTATTATCATACTACCCATCGGAAAATGTTTTCACATATGTGTTGATGAAAAATCTCAAGCACTCACTGTGATACGTTCAACATCTTTAATGGATATCCATTACAGCTGCTTAACGTATCACAGTGAGTGCTTGAGATTTTTTTTTAATTCTTTATTTTTGGACATGGATTTCATACAGCAGTGTCATCATATTCAGTAATATCATAACAACACATTCACTGACAGACGCACACTCACATTCACTAAGAGACACAAATTGACAGACACACACATTCACTGACAGGCACACACTAACAGACACACACTCATTTACTAACAGACGCACACTCACAGACATACACTGACAGACACATACACTCACTAACAGATACACACTCACAGACATACACTGACAGACAGACACACATTCACCCATAGACATCCTGATACTGACACACTCACACATTGTCTCACACATTGTCTCACACACTTACATGCTACATATATACACATTCAGACACACATTCACTCACAGACATCCTGATACTGACACACTCACACTCACACATTGTCTCACACACTTACATACTATATATATATATATTTTTACATTTTAATTTAAATCCACCCATCATCCCTACCTTTGGGAGAGCTGGGGTGGATTCTTTCCTGGGGTTCAGTGGGACTGGCTGCTGCTGGGCGGCTGTTGTGCTGGCTGGGTGGCTGGCCTGCTGCTTGGCTGCTGGGCTGGCTGGCCGGCTGCTGGGCATGTGGGTGGGCAGGCGCAAAGTGGAGGTGGGAAGGGAGTTGTAATGCTCCAGACTCGCTCCCTCGCGCACAGCTTAGTGATGCCGGCAGCTGGAGTGTTGCAAAATTAGCTGCCATCTGCCTCTGGGGGGGCCTTGAGGTGGCCAGTCGGCCAGCTCTTCTGTCACCCATGAAAGAGGCCTACAAGGCATCTGCCAGGGAACATTTTTTTGCTGCCAACTTGAAAGTGCTGCCCAAATGCCTTGTGAGCCTCGTTGAAGATACAGCACTGCAAGCTATGGTCAAGTATCTAGTAAGCAGATAGAAGCATATTCAGGAGCATGAAATTAGAACTCTTAGGAAGTCAAGGCTTTTCAAAGGCGTAAGTACACTAAAATATCAGAGCACTGCCTGCAGCTCACCGAAGAGATTAATGGAGTGCTTCTAGGTAGGTGGAAAATGGAAACATGTTTTATTGCCTAGGCAACACATGCATAGCTAAAACTGCATTACTGCAAGCTTCCTGCTGTGCTTGCCTAAGACACTATGGATTAGAGTGAAAGTCAGGGTCCTAGTGAACTCAAACACAATGGGTTTGTTAACAAATCCACCACCTTATCTATCTCTTCCCACAACTCAGACCATCTTTAGTAATGTTTACTGCTCTACCTTACTACTTCTTCACATGTATGAAAATATGATATGATTTGTCCTGTTATGTCTGTAATTTTTGAAAATTATGATTCATTTAATATTATTAGTATTACTCTTAATATTCTGTGTCGGTTTTACAGAGCATTTATGAATATGCTCAACAGATGTTACATTGTTTTGTTTCTTATTTTGTTAGATATGTGTAAACCTGCTGCAACTTGCGTTGAAGCCAGACCCCGTCCACAACGTTCTTATATAGATATAGTTTTCCTTCTGGATAATTCAAACAATATGGAATATCATGAGTTTGATACTGCAAGAAATTTCATAAGTACAACTATTGATCAGCTTGATATTTCTTCTGAACCCAAGACTTCATACTCAGGAGACCGGGTAGCTCTGGTGAGCAATGCATTTTTTGATTCCAAACAAGGAAAACCTCAGGGTGAGTTTGACTTAGTGACTTATAACAGCAAAACTCGGATGAAGAGACACATAATGGAATCCGTCACTCTTCAGAGCAGTCAACCTGTTCTTGGTTTAACCTTAGAAAGGACAATTGATGAAATAATGTCAAAGGTTTCAAATAACAGGAGAAAAAAAGTCTTTATAATTATTTTGTCTGGAGAGACAAGCATGGGAGATAAACACAAACTTTCGGAGGCCTCTTTGTTGGCCAAGTGTCAAGGTTATGGTCTGTTCGTGCTCTCTATTGGTAAAGAGTATAATTATACTGAACTTACGGAAATCGCTAGCAAACCTCTAGACCATCACCTACTGCAGCTGGGCAGAATTCACAAGTCAAACATTGATTACGCAATTGGATATCTGCAACCATACTTGAACTCTGTAAGGCGTAAGTATTTATAAGAAAACAGCTTTCTTTATTCTTCTTAGTTTTTTATTTGAATTTCTATATAGTGCCAGCAGGTTTTGCGGTGCTGCACATAGTTATTAATAATGAAAAATTCTGGTAAGATCAAAAGACAAATGTTACACTGATAAAGGATTTACAAATTTGCTTGAAAGTTAGCTAGTGAGAAAATGATTTGCAATTTTCAGTTTAACTTTGTTTTATATTTAGGATTTGCATTAATCCACAATTTTATGTTTTATACTTTTCATTTTTTGTCTTAGTAAAGCATATATTTATGTCCTTGAAGCTTTGGGACAGTCTCTAAAGCTTTTGATCTATGAAGTTGTTTAAAAGAGGCCTTGTGCAATGTAACTATTTACAGTTATAATCAAAATTATTCAACCCCCACTGATAAACAGGTTTATTGTCACAATTTACAGACTTTATCAGTATATATATGTCTTTTGATCTTACTAGAATTTTTAATTATAAAAAAAAAAAATGCATTTTAATATTGTCTTGTTACTGTGGTCCATATTTTGGGTTAAACCCACATTTGTGTTGCATTAGAGATGTTGGCTTTAACTCCTTAATAGATAGGATAATTCTGATTTGTTCTCTGCAGAACTCCAAAAATATAAATGATGACACAGTGTGAAAAATTACTCCTTATTATATGTGATGTCAACTGGTGGTGTAATACTTTCAGTGGTGGGGTCAGAGAAATGAGCCCTGGAGGACAGCCTTCTCCACTGAATTACTGTACAGAGGATGTTCCAGTGCCTCTAAATACTTCCTTATAGCAGATCACATCACCAGTCAGTTGGGGTAGCCCTTTTCTTAGGTTCAGTTATCTGTCCTTGCATTACCAAGAAGAATGGGAGACTCTTGGTTTAATTCTACCCTTTCAAATAAGGATTAAATGAAGGATGTCTTGTCAGGTGAATGTGGCAAAATTCCCAACACAGACTTTGCTGAGGAGAAGGGTGCTCTAACAGAGCTCTTATATCTCCCTCTATTTCACCTAGAGAGATCTTATCTGAAAGGTCAGAATATATTGTCCACCTAGGATGCTGGAGATCACCTTTCCATCCACCTACCTCAATTTCCATAATACCTTTTTGGAGGGTGTGGGAGCTCTAAAGAGTATAGGATCCTTCATGTAAGAAAGATTTATTAGAAAAAAAAGAGGTTCACCTCTTGTGAATGTAAGGTCACTTGCTCCTGTAATCTTCAAATGATCACCATGGTAATTTGTAATCTCTTTTTAAAAGAGTATAGCCCATTAATCAAATGAGGTATCACATGCCCACATAGTGGGAAATTGCATTGAGGTGTAAACTGAATGCAGCAAGGTAAATTATTAGTGTAGAACTCACTCACAGAGATTTGCTGTTGGCCAGTCAGCTTTCACAGTAATGGCTACTTAACTAGTACTAAAAGCATTTGTTATTTAAGTGTACAACAGGGATGAGGATTGGGTTTAAATAGAGCATGTAATTTTTATGACCTTGCTTAAAATTAACATTGCTTTGCAGGGGAAAAAAAACTGTTACTAATTGTGCTTGGTTTAGGAACTTTGCATTATAACAATCGAAGCATTCTGTTCTGTTACTAGGAGCAATCAACAAATATCCACCAGTAGATCTGAGGAGCAAGTGTGCTAGTTTAACTTCATCTAGATATAAAAGAAATGCGTAAGTACCATATTTTTCTAAATGATTCCATATTTAAACATCTCTTAAAACTGTTTATGATAGCTCATGCAATTTTATATTAACCACACAGGCAGTTAAAGGAACACTGTAGCGTTAGGAATACAAGCATATTCCTAATGCTGTAGTCTCTTACTAACTGCTTAGGTGTCATTATCTGTCCTCCCTTATGTGTAAAAACACATTTTACTTACCTTTTAGCTTTCAGTACAGCAACACTGTATCTGCCATGCAGAGAGAACTTACTGATATTTCGCTCCTCCGAAGCCCTTATCTGTGGGATCAGTCTGATATGCATATGGTATAGGTTCTTTTTGTAATGACACAAGTGAGCAAAACATTTTAAGACCTGAGTGGGGACTAACTGAAGGGCTAACTACTGAGTTTCTCTGAAGCTTTTTCCCATTCTCAGAGTTCTCGTATTCTATGTTTTGTTGCATATATTGAAATTAATACAGAAGTCTGCCAAAAACGCAGTCACTCTATGAGGAGCTCAAAGCAAAGTAGCATAGACAGTATGGGTCCCATCCTGGGATATATGCCAAGAGATGATGCTGTATTCTTCAAGATGTAGGATAACCAATATATATAAAAAATAAAACAAAAATACAAAACTCCAAGTGTGCCGTATAAGAAACGATGAACCATATAAAGATAGGAAGAATCCTACAAATTTCACAGCATATTATATTATCCTCCGAGTGTTATAGAGCTCGTTGGATTAGTTCCCACCACAGACAGGTATAGAGCAGGATACCAATGCATCTTGTTTCCAATGAGGAAAGAGAATTTATTAGCCACAATTTAAATAAAACACACAGCATATAAAAAGGATCCATATTGATGATTTTTCACTATGCAACTTTCTCAAGTGTGATGAACTTGCAGTATTTAAATAAAGCTCTGAATAAATAGCTTCTGATGTATTTCCTCATTTTTGCCTCCGACACTGGGGTATCCTGTATTGGCACTTTCGTTCAGTGTGGAGTTGGTGTCATGCTCCTGAGCAGGTCAGAGGGGAGATGATTGCAAGGGTTATTGGTTAAAACCTTATTTGTCCTATTAGACATAACAAATTTACTGAAAATAAAGAATAAAGGGCAGTCTGCCACAAACAGGATACTTTGAGAAAAACAGGGTTTAGGCGATATGCTACAAACAAGATCTTTAGAAAGTAAATGAATAAAGTCTTTTGTATACAAGC